GAGTTTTCTCAAAAACAGAGATTTCTTAATAGTCCTCTATTCGGATTTTCTGTACATGGGCTTTGCGAGCCAAGTTGGACTATCCTCCTCCAATGAAATCTCCTTAAATGATCCTAATTTCCCCCATTGGTTGCTAATGTTGTTGTCTAGTCGGGGGGGGGGGGGGGGGGGGCGTGGCTCTTGAGGGTTTTCAGCTTTGCGATATGCTTCATGGGTTGTAAACTGCCTAAGATGACTTTTCTAAATGAGGAATTCAATTTTCGCCTTCAATTGGATGCATTCATCAATATGGTGCCCATGTTCACAATAGAAGTTGCAGTACTTATTCATATTTCTTTTCTAGGGGCCCGACCTTATCTTTAATGGTCATTTAAGGAATTTTTTGTTCTACACTTCGTGTAACACTTGCGCCACTAAAGCATTTAGAGGTGTGTAGTGCTAGGCCAAACCTTGGTGGACAGTTCTATATTGGTGTTGCAAGCCAGTCTCGAACATCTCATTTCTTTTGAGGCAAAAGGACTCTCCCTCTTCTAAGGCTAGCTTATTTTCTCTTCTTGCCCCCAGGAGGTCAATTGCTACTGAAGAGCTGCAACGCACCTGAAGAACATTTGTCATGCTGGTCTAGGGGTGTTTGGACATTCAAAATAGAAATTCAAAAGGATACAATCCAGCGATGAAAGCTGCCAGAGTTACCTTTCTTGTCGAAGTTGTCAATATGCTAAGTTTATAGGTGGAATCGCTGAATATACTTCCTCAGTCTCATCAAGCTTTTGCTTGATGCTGAGGAGGAAAAGGTGGGTTTTACATGGCTTCTCACTCCGATGAAGTGCAAGACAAACTGCATGAAAAGTTCCTTGAATGAGCCAACCATCCCTGGTGATGGTTTATTGGACCAATTTAGGGCAGATCCCTTGAGGGTAATTACAAAGGCACGACATCCAACCAGATAACTATGTAGCTCCATCATATTCTTGAAAGTGTTTAGGTGATCGAATGAGCCCTTGCTTCCATCGAAGGCTTCCATGTTTGGCATCTTGAATTTGGATGTGATGTGGAAAATTTGGATTTTTAAGGTGAATGGAGATTCGATTTGCTGTATTAGGGCTTCCATTGAGACCAGGGTTATGGTTTTGATGAAATTCTTCAACTAGCCCAGCTCGTCCTATACTTTCTTGATTTTACTTTCCAAGTTCCAGTCTACAAGAGTGGGTCGTAAAGGTTGACGAACATTAGCTTTACCCCCTTGGCCAGTTCTGCTTTCACCTTCTTCCTTTTTGATGTTCAAATTAGGTTGGTTTGTGAGTGTTATTGCTAGATTGACTCTTATCATGTTCTTTAGATTCCTCACGGGAAGACTGTCACTGGACTATACGTCAAGAGCTACAAAAAATCTGTCATTTTTCACGTAACAACTCCATCATGGCATGTTGTAAAGTTCCTTGATCTCCTGGTGGTGGCTAATTTGCTGGTGGGGGATTGCGATTGAGGAACCCTAGGTTGATTTTCCTGATTATGACTCATGTTTCTAGTTTGCACCATGAATCAATAATGGAGTTTTTGCTTTAGAACAACAAAATCATTCCCACATACAACACCAAATTGATGGTGTAAAAAATCGATGAACACTGTAATAAGTGAGCTGCTAAATTAAATGTGATGTGTGGGAACAATGAGAATGCTAAGAGTAAATTAGTTCACCCAGATGAAAAGCAGGAGTAATCCATTGTTGAAAGGAGTCTCTTGCTCATTTTAGATATTTATTGCTTCAAGGAAGAAGAAGATACCCAATAGGATTTTTCTTAGGGGTAGTGTAACTGATCTGTTACATTGTTTCATTGCTTTTACAACTAATCGAGGAATATTTGGAGAACATTTGATTGTCAAAAGATTTTTTTGGCTTAAGGTATGATGTAAGCTTCTAGAAGTAGTAATCCCTTGTACAAGGTAGAGTTTTTCAGGAGAGGTTTCTCCTTTCTCGCGTTAGGCGGTTTTGCTCCTTTCCCCATTTTGGTAATTTTCATATTGAGGTCAGTCTTAATTGGTATTGTGATTTTGGAAGTGAATTATTATCCTGGGCTATCTTTAAGTTTGACATGTTTATTTTCTCTAGTATCATTAATTTTCATAATAATCTATATTCATCTATCTATACTACTAATAAAAATACCTTACACATGCAAACATTTTGATTCACAATTTTACCCTCATAAAGAATTAGAAAGACCATTCATCCTTCCACAGTTAATATCTAAATTACCATAATATTCTTATGTATTTAAATCTCTAAATTACATCTAATATCACTTTTAATTATATAATCTCGATGTATAAATGTCAATTTTTATAAAATTTTTTGATTGATTATATTATTCTTAAAAAATTTATGCGTCATTATAAGTTTTAACAAAATATTCAAAAAAACCTTCAAAAATTTCATCAATATAATATTACTCACCTTATTTATAAAGATAATATTATGATTACATATGCATATTTTATTTTTTTATCAAAATGTTTAACCTTTTCATTTTTAAGAAAAAAATAATGTATATGTAGTTTTAAATGATTTTTTTAGTCACAATAAACTTTTCAGATTGTGTTAAGATTTTATGTGAAAATTTGAATTTTTTTTAAATTTTAATATGCTTTATAATATATATTATAGCATTTTATATTAAATTTTATCCCAATTGACATAGATAATCCTAATAGAGTAAGACTTAAATATGATTGATATATTGATAATTATTTTTATTTTATTCAACAATTTATAAGTAAAATCTTAATCAAATTAATTTTTTAATTGTTTATTCTCTATTTATAAATACTAATTTTTATGAAACTTTTTAATTGATTATATTACTATTAAAAAATATATGCATTATTATAAGTTATAACAAAATATTCAAAAATTTTTCAAAAACTCCATCAATATAATATTACTTATTTTATTTATAAAGATAATATTATGACTACGCGTGTATATTTTATTTTTCATCAAAATGTTTAACCATTTTATTTTTAAGATAAAAAATAATGTATATATAGCTTTACATGATTTTTTTAGTCATCATAAATTTTTTAAACTGTGTTAAGATTTTATGTGAAAACTTGATTTTTTTTTTAAATTTTAATATGCTTTATAATATATATTATAGCGTTGTATATAAAATTTGATCTCAATTGACCTCACTAATCCTAAATATAGTTAGGTTCTAATATGATTAGTATATTGATAATTATTTTTATTTTTTTCAATAATTTATAAGTGTAATCTTAATCAAATTAATTTTCAAACATCACTAAAAAATCACTTTCAATTACAAAATTATAGAAAAAAAAACGAATTTAATTATTTCTTTTCTTTTCTTTTTTTCATTTTTCTTAAAGTTAGAACAATAAATCTTAAAAACATACAAGGTTTTCAAAAATTCTATAGTAGAGCATGAGAGATGAAAAAATAAGTTTGATAAATTTGAAATGATATTTAATTCAAGTACATATATACTAAATATTTATTTATTAATTTTTTTTAAAAAAATTATTCACATGCAATGCACGTGATGCATTGTTAGTCTATATAAATAGACCAGACAACCAATAACCCATCAAATACCAATTTTCTAACAGCGCACAGGCAGGCCTCAGCAACGACCCGACTCAGGATTTTTAAGCCCATAGCCTGTTCGTGGGCTAGGCCTAGGGGTTTTGACTAGTCTATGGGCCGGCTGGGCCTAGCCGTTAAGAATTTTTAAGGCCTATGGCCCACCAGTGGGCTGGCCTATTTAGCCAAAACAGGCTAAATGCGGGCCGGGCTTTATGGCCCGCCCATTCGACCTGATACTGCCTTTTTATGTAAAAAAATACATAAAGGTATCAAAAAAAATATTTTTTATATAAAAATTAAAAAAAAGACATTAATTACATGAAATTTGCATAAAAAAATAAATTAATAAATAAATTATTCATATTGATTGAATTTAACAAATATTCATATAGAGTTATAATGTTACTTTACAAATTAATTGATGGGTGAGACTATTTTACATCACTATAAATTTAATATATCCCAAGTAGATTGACACTTACACAATTGTCAATTATTTACGAGTCTCAACCATATAAAAATTACAGATCAAATATTATATAAATAATACAATTATAAAATATAATTTAAATTATCTTCCAACGGGCATATTTTATTGGACTAACGAGCCGGGTCGTAGGGCACCAAACCGTAAAAAACAATGTCCAGGCCTTACCCTCCGGACTAACAAGCTACCAAAACCTTACCACGGCACCTTAGCCCGTTAGACTTCTAGGCCGTGGGCGGCCCATTAGACTTTGGACTTTTTGGCGAGGCCAACACAGAAATTAGTATTTTTACACGCTCAAAAAATTGAAATTGTAGTGAAAGTGAAACCTTGTCCTCGTACTTTACCAGGTCACGTGCTATAAAGATCTTTTTTTTTTTTGTTAATTCTCGTAATTCTTTTGCTCTGATCACGTGCTATCCAGATTCATTAAGGGGCTATGAAATCCATTGCCACAACTCCCTGTCCTGCTGTACACCATGAAAAACACTCGCAAAAACCAGATGAGGCTCTCATTCAAGACCATACGCTTGGCCACAATTCACCCATTCTTGCCCCACCCCTAGAATTCCAATTTCTGGTTTCAAACTTTCAATTGCATTCTTCGCTACCCCATCAACCTCACGCCCTTAAAAATATCTCAAACGCTCTCTTATCCCCAAACCCTTTCAATTCACCAATACCCACATCACCGAATTCAATTCCACCCACCCCCAACTCATGGCAACCCCTTGCTTGCTTGATTCAAAACTCAGATGGAACCCTTTATTAAACCCCAACCCAGTTCAATACATTCCCTTTAGACCTATTATTCACACCACGCATTTTCATAGAACCACAATAAAACCTAACAAAACATCTAAACTCAGCATTAAATGCTTATTCATGAATAAAAGAAAATGTGGAATGGAATTGGTTAACAACGAGAACGCTCAGAACCCATTTGATGTTATTACCAAGACAATCTTGGAAGGCCTTAAAGCTCTGCAAAAACCAGCGATAGCCGCAGTAATGGTGAGTTTGTTGCTCGTGTATGATCCCAATTCAGCATTGGCTGCTTCAGGTGGGAGAATGGGAGGAAAGTCATTTTCATCGTCGTCGTCTTCATCGAGGAGCTATTCGGCCAGGACGGCCGGCCCCAGTTTTTCGAACACGGTGCCGTATTATGCGCCCTCGCCTTTCGGGTTTAGTGGTGGTGGTTTTTATGTAGGTCCAGCAGTTGGTGTTGGGTCGAGTTTCTTCTTCATTATGATGGGTTTTGTGGCATTTATTTTGGTTTCGGGTTTCTTATCTGATCGGTCTGAGGGTGGTGTGCTCACTGCTACTGAGAAAACAAGTGTTCTCAAGCTGCAGGTACTCAATTTGAATTGAACTTGCTGATCGATTAAATTCCAAAAAAAGATAAATGTTTGTTGGTTAATATTTAATTTGAACAATATATGAAGGTCGGGATCCATTTTTGGGAATGTTTGTTGAACGTGCTAGGAAGGGTTACACATTTGATACTATGCACAAATGGCTGCCCAGAGGACTCAAACTCTGGTTGTTAATCAGATATTTCTACAGGAGCAGCTGACAATGGCCCCTTAATTTGACTAACATGTACAGTTATTTATTCAATTTGCAGTTGTAGTAGCTTGATGGTTTGCAAAATTAACTAATATGAGTAGTTCGTAGGATAGATATTAAGTTTGTTGAGTCTTGCATTTGTTTAATCCCATGTTATAGATGTTTTGAGTTTAGAAGAACTGCCTGAACAATTAAGGATGTTAGTAGGCATGGATATGAGAGGGATAGATTCCAAGGTGGCTAAAGTGGATTCTTGCTTTTTAAAAACAATAAGGCTATATATACTTAATTTGGGGAGCTTATGCACTGTGGTCATGGGATTGAGAGAAAACTTCATTCAATGCTAAGGCCCTGCTGCCAATCCAATCCAATGGTCACCAGGCAAGTTCGTGATATCAGGTCCCAAAAGCAATTAAAGTTTCATTTTGCAAAATTAAGTCAATGGAACATGATTAATGTCAAATTCCAGCCCAGGATAACCCTAACCTGTTAACCCTTTAATTATCCTTTAATTGTTATTTAAATCAGAGTACTTAACTTGTGCAAAAATAATCAAAGCCATTCACTCAAATAAGAATTCTGACATTTACATAGCACAACATTACCATACTCTTGAAATATTTAACAAGCTATGTACAATATGACACATGATGTCGTGTACAATCTAACGTCAACACCCTTACACCAAGCTAGACTGCTCAGTGAACCACCTTCTAAGTCTGGGCACCTGATTTGAGGGGTGAGCAAACCACACGTTTAGTGGGTATGTTGGAGACATATAGAAGGAAGCATGTAAACACAGAACAATTATAGACTTGAACACTAATATCGGACTGTCCACTATCGCCCGAAACTAAACCAAAGCTGTCAAATACAACCATCATGAAACTATCATCACAAACACAGGAAGTAAATGTAAGCAAAGCTGTCAAATGCAACAATCATGAAACTAAACCTAGTTTATTGTAAAGCAATAATGTCTCAAAATGGTTTATAGACAAAAATAAGCGATAAGGGAAGGCTAAAGTTTCGGGTTTTGAGGTTTTTTAATTCAGCTCTGGGTAAGGAATAAATTTTCTGAAGGTTTAAGCAAATTTCCAGCCACTTAGAACAACAGGTGCTGTTGGTAAATGGAAGGGATAGGCTTTGGAAATGAGGGCTAGTAAGAAGAAGGGAGCAAATAAGGAAGAAATCTTACCTGAGAGCCATAGGAGCTACTACCGAGAAATCTACAACCAGTTATGTAGAGAAGCTTTAACCACTAGCTAAACAAGCTTTTGAAGAGAATGTAGTAGTTAAAGAAGATACACTGGATAGGGAAGAAGAGAAAGGTAGAGAAAAAGGAAAAGAGAAAGAAGAGAAGGAAACAACATCAAAAACTTTCCCAAAATTTGAACCTGCTACTGGGAACCCTAGATCCCAACCCTTCATTTCCCTCATGTTTAGATGTCTCCATCTTATATAATCTAACTTTCACCTCATTTAAATAGTTGTGTGCTAGACATGTGATTGTTTAAATGACTTGAAACAAAATGTGGACATGCCATGCCCCACATCCTAAGAAAAAAACTTTAACATAACATTACAAAAAAAAATAAAAACTTGAAATGTAAATTTAAGTCCAAAAACTAAGCTACATCAGTAGGCTTACATTAGGTTTTTGTCTTGAGTCCCTATATTTTTGCATTGATTATGGATGAATTGACTAGACATATTCAAAATGAGTTTCCATGGTGTATGTTATTTGTAGATGATATTGTATTAGTTGATAAAAGTAAATAAAAAATTAATAGTAAACTAGAAATTTGTTGAGAAACTCTAGAATCTAAGGATTTAGGATAAGTAGAACTAAAATTGAATATATAGAGTGTAACTTTAGTAAAAAGAGGAATTTAAATCAGGAAGTAGTAAAAATTGAAGATTAAGAGATATCGAAGAGTGAACATTTTAAATATTTAGTGTCTATTATTTATAGAGGGTGAGATTGATGATGATGTTACTCATATAATCAATGTAGGATGGACTAAATGGAGGAATGCATCTAGAGTATTATGTGATAAATGCCTACCAATTAATTTAAAAGGAAAGTTTTATAGAATGGTCATAAGACCCTCTATGTTTTATGGTATAGAGTGTTGGGCAACTAAGAGCATCTCTAACAAAATGACTAAAACTCCAAAAATAGCTACAATTTAGCTATCTAAAGACTAAAACCATGTTCCAACAGAAGATGTTCAACATAGGTAAAATACAATTTTGCTATAGTGATGTTCTCTAAATATAAAGTATTATTGTAGCATTATGTATAAATAGTTTATAGTATATTTTCTCTCTTATTTTTTTCCACCTCTCTTGTACACTTATTGTCTTTCCCTCTATTATTTCTCTCTCTCTCCAATAGTTCCAACAAAGGTACAAAATATAAAAAATAATATTTAAAAATAGTTAAAATATAGAAATTCTGTTGGAGTGTGTACTAAAAAGGTGAGTAGCTAAAATAAAAAAAGTGTACTTTTGGATAGTTAAAATACAAAATTTTGTTGGAGATGCTCTAATAAACAACATGTTCATAAATTGAGTATGACAGAAATTAAAATGTTAAGATGGATGTATCGTAAAAATAGGAAAGAAAAAATTAAGAATGATATTCCATAAAAAGTAGAGGTGATATCTATAAGAGATAAATTAAGGGAGAATCGACTTAAGTGGTTTGAACATATTTATAGATGGTCTAGTGATATGATAAATATTGAAGGTAAGCATAGGGGTAGAAGTAGACTAAAATTAATTTAAATGAAATAGTAAAGAAAGAAATAAATGAAATAATAAAGAAAGAAATGATAATTTATGCTTTAATAGAAAGCATGACCATTAATAGAGTACAATGGCAAAGGAGGATTCATGTAACCAACCCCAAAAATGTTGGCACATGGTTGAGTTGAGTTTGGTATTTTTAGCACAATTTAGTGTTGATTTAGTGTTTTCAGTCTGGTTTAGTAGTTTTCGACCCAGTTTGGTGCTAGTTTAGTAGTTTTTATCCTGGTTGGTTCAGTGTCGATTCATTCAGTGTTTTTAATCTAATTAGTATTGGTTTAATTGTTATCAAGTCAATTTGGTGTCAATTTAGTGTTTTCAGCCTTGTTTGTTGTCGGTTATGTGATTTTTGGGTCAGTTTAGTGCTAGTTTAGTGGTTTTCATTTGGCTTAATGTCGATTCTGTTTTTTCAATAGGATTTAGTGTTGATTCAATAGTTTTCAGACCAGTTTGGTATTGGTTTAGTGGTTTTTATCCCATTTTAATGTTGATTATGTGTTTTCAGCTCAGTTTAGTGTTGGTTGAGTGATTTCGGGCCAATTTGGTGATCGTTTAGTGGGTTTTAGACAAATGAGTTCAGTCATTTTTAGCTTGGTTTAGTGCTAATTTTGGAGTTTTCAGCCTGATTTTGTACTATTTTGTGGTGTTTAGAACCGGTTCTGCCCATGTTCGGTTGATTCAACTTTGATTCTCATCGGTTTGCCTTATTTTTTATTGTTGCAGCTGTATTTGTTTGTGTTTGTGGTTCATTGTAATGTTGTTGGTTATGTTTGTTTGCGCGGGCAGTGTTGCTGTTTAGCTTATGTCTTAGACTTCACATACAACAACCACCTAGGTTTGTATTTTATGGGGAGCACCATAGTACTGTGTGTTAGTTAAATGAATCTCTATATAGTCTGAATCAGTCACCTAGACCTTGGTTGTATGCTTTTTACTATTTCTGTATATTGCGATACCATTTGTAAAGTGTGGTGATCAACTTGGTGATATTCTTGCTAAACCATTGTAACGGTCCATTTTTAGTAGTATTTGTTTCAAGTTGTGCATTTCTTATGCTACAGCTTGAAGGGGAGTATTGGTGTTCCTTTTTTGCTGTTCTACTTTCCTATTACGTTACTTTCTTATCGTTCTATTTTTCTATTTGGTCGATTTCTTATTATGTTATGCTTTCCTGATATTTTTACTTTTTTCTATATCAATCTAATATAAATAAGTGACATGGTCTTCTCCTTCTTTTCCTAAACCTCAATATTCAATTATTTAAGTTTCAACTTATTTTATGCTCATATCTTTACAACCTTTTAGTCGTATATAAACCATATAAAAGTCTGCAAAAACACTTGGACCCAAGCTTAATTTGGGCGACATACCATCTCACTGTATCATAGTTTCTCGTCTTTCATACCAGGGGCGGTTCTGGGAAAAAGTTTCAAAGTGGACACATTAGCACGTTAATTTTTTTTTAACTGATTGTAGAAGTTCATAAATACATATTTATTGAAATTATATTTAATACTAAAAAGTTTAGGAAACATAGAAGATTAAAAATTGATATGCATAACATGAAAAAAAAAAAAAATTAAAACTTCTTATCAAGAATGAGACTAATTATAGTCACTTGCAATTAACCCTGATATGTTTTTATTATTTGAAAGAGCTACAAATCAATCTTATCAACAATATTATTTTATATATAAAATAGTGATAATAATCTTCAATTTATGATCCTATAGTTTACTACATAACTACACACATTTTTATACAATAACGAAATAATTCTATAATTTTAAAAAATTATCAAATAACCTCAATATGTTTAAAACATATTCGGACAAAACGTGTCTAAAAGTTAACAATAATATTAGTTGCACCTAAATTGAGATTTAATTGGTGGAGACTCAATGGTTTATGATTATTGTATAAATAGTGGAGTTTATTAAATATTAAGGCTCACTATTAGACTTAATATCAAAATGCATTAGGTCTTTATATTAGGTTTTAATAACATTGTTCAAAAAGTTAACAATCATTTAGGTAGGAGTTTATTTAAATTGATATCACCACAACACAATAATAGGGTGGAAACAATTAAATATATCAAAATTTTATTTCAAAAAATACATGTCTAATAAGAAGGAAAAAAAATTGAGGGGGGCCATGGGAGAATAGTGATTGGTTTTAATTAGGTTTTATGTTATGAAAGTTGAAAGCTTCAAATTCGGGGTAATTCTGAAAGTCACGGATTAAAAAGGTTATGAAGTTCTATACATTTGAGGACACAAGTCTTTTTTCAGATAACGACAGTGAGATGTAGTTGTTGACTTCTTGTGATCTCATTTCCATTTCAGAAAAGGAAAACAATCTCTTTTTCATTTCAGAAAGGAAAACTAAATGTTTCGATTATTTGGTGGGACAGTGCACTGTTGTGGAATTTTTATCGGATGTATTTTAGCATTTCCTTTTGAAAATATCTCTCATAGCTATGTTGTTCTAGGTTGGCTTGTTGGGGATGGGGCGATCACTTCAAAGGGATCTTAATCGGATTGCTGAAACTGCTGATACATCCACCTCAGAGGGTTTAAGCTATGTATTGACAGGTAGGGATTTGGTTATAAGCTTGTTGGGTTCACGTCTTGACATTATCTTAAAATTTTTAATGTGTAGATATTTTCACAAACTTATTTGTATGTTGAAATCTAAATTTTCACCCAATTGCATTTTCAGATATTTGTTTTATGCATTTACCACATGCACAAATCTCTATGTTCTCAAGCACGTGCTTGTGAATGCTCAGAGATATGATTGCTGCATGTTGTAAGCCCCTTCATCCGGCCAAGGCCAGTGACTGTTTCCTATGCTTGAACCTTGTTCTGCCACCAAATCCTGCTTTGCACGTCTAACTGCATGGCAATAAGCAAAAGTTATCCAATAATCCAAAAGCCTTTTTCACCAAGTATGAGATCTCTTTAAAACAACAAATTAGCTATGCAGATGTTATAACTTATATATTTTTACTACAGGAAAAAATGTGTAATGATATTAATTGGTTCTAGTTTTTGGATTTCTATTTTAGTTAAATGCTTGTTTTGAATGGCTCAATCCTGTTTTAGGCTTGCCGCATGAGGATTGCACTTCACGCTTTGAGTTCCCTTGAGATTAAAGCACATAGTGAAACACTTAGAATTGGATTGTACTGTTTGGGTTCTGTGATTTTGACATTTGATTGAATATGTCAGAATCTTTCGGCGTGAGTGGTCGGGGACATATTTTTGCTTCTAGAATCCCTGCAGCCATAGTGTCTTGCATTATTATGAGTGAAGTTGCTTTTTCCTGAAGGAAAGAAAAGTGGAATTGATTCTTTATGTTGAGAAGATTGTGTATGCAGGTGGAAAATTGATCGAGTAAGCTCCATTTGTTGTGCAGCTTCTCAATTCTTGGAACTGTGAACAAGCCCTTCTTTGTACAAATAGCTTTTCTGTGGACATTATAAAATGAGTTCAAGAAAAAGTCACAAATTCCTTTATGAAGACTTGGAGATGGAAGAAGCCAACTAGTTTGATGGGCCATAGTAGTATCATACAAGAAATGATAAATCTAGCATTCTAATTCGATGAAGCAAAAAAGTTTGTTTCCTTAAAATAACTTTGACACTACGTTCTAGAAATCTGGCTCTTTGGTTTCAGCATTCTTTTTTTTTTTTTACTTACCAAGAATTTTAATTTCTCCTACTTCTCATTGAACTCTGCACATGGGAAGATTGCAGGTGGCATTTAAGAGAGACTATGTGAGGTAAGATGCAACTCCGGAGCTTATATTACCCTTCTAGATATTCACTATGAGAGAAGTAGAGTGTGTGACCTTCATTTTTTTTCGGTTCTAGGGATTTAGGTTGATACCATAGGTTCATACCAGTGAAAAATCCAAATATAGCCCTCATAATAGCTCAAAAAATTCTCCCACATAACAATGCTTGGAACATTGGGTCACTTAAGTGATCCACTGGACTGGATCATACCAAGCTCCTCTTGATTGTATTTCTGCCAAAATTATGGAATGGTGATGCTGACACTGCTGCTTTTCTTGTATTGATGCTATTTCATTGATCCAATTACTCTTTTCCATTTTCATTTTAACTACCCTATGCAGTTGATAATCACTTGTTTTCTCTTTGCTAATATTATAATCTTAGCGATGCCGAAATTTACATTTACCTTCTGCATGCAGAGACAACACTAGCTCTGCTTCGGCATCCTGATTATTGCATCTCTGCTTATTCATCTGTAAGTCAATACAATCTCTTTAGTGTGTTACAATTCATTAATTGGAAAAATTTGAGACAAGTATAGCTGGCAAATATAGCTATTTACTTCCATTATTTCTACTTTGGAATTGGGATGGTTGTATTCAGTTGCTGGAACAATACATTCTGTGATGATGCTCTCAACTGAGATGTTGGTAATACTAGGGAGTCCTTGCTTCAGTAATTATTGTCATATATGTCTGCAGTGTATAGTATGTATAGTGACAACACATCTAGGGTAGTGTTTAATTGAAAAAATAGATGCCCACTCCTGGAATTAGAGGCTTCACCATTCATGTAATGTGGATTTTTTCTTATACTCAAGGCTATGTTCCAAGTTGGTAGGTTGAGTGTTAAATCATTGCACTGAATAGTGACCATGTTTATCTCGGTTCGTTCATTTCCATGAAATAAGTTGATTTCCTGGAAACATACACAGCCTTTGTAACATCGAGTATCAGCAACCTGTCAATCTGAACAACCATAAGCATGTAACTTTTTTAATACTAGACACGAAAAAATAAAACACAATTTCCTACCCAACATCTGGATACCCACGGTGTAGGGCTTGAAAGCATAATAAACCCATAATCTACCACCACTCTCAAAAGGGCCTAACCTTTGAGATAGTGGAAGGGAGTTTATTAACCTTTCTAGACAAAATTGTGTGTGCAATAGATTTGGGATGGAACTTTATTTTTTGGAATACTAGACATGTAGAAGTTAACACACAATTACTTACCCAAGATCTGGATACGCACAATGGAAGACCTGAAAGCATAATATTCTCCATTGTGATTCCCCTTTGAGATGTCATATTGTTTGGTGCACAGCAGCGAGATGATTATTATTTGGGGCAGCAAAAAATTGGATGACTATCTGGATTGCGTGAGAAATGTCTGGGTTAGTCTTACAGCGATGGGTGGGACCACAAGGTGCTAACAGTGAGTAGTCAAATTGCCACAGAGGCTGATGCTTGTCATCTTTGGACTTTGGAGTATTTGACATTCATTCGTATGAAATCCAAGTCATATTTCAATTAGTTTGCTTGGTAAACCTTGGGGAAGTATGGACCTCTAGTTCAAGAAATTGCATAATCGAACCTCGATCTTTATCTAGAAAGATTGATCAAAACCAGCAATTCATTCGAATGATGAGCATGTCATCTGAAGTCTTAGATTTGAACCTTATATCTCCGTCTTTTTGAGCATTCCACCCCCTCCTGTTCCTCTCTCTCTCCTTCATAGACAACCACGCTTTGTGAGCTATGAATCCCGGATATTTCGTCAAGGTTAACGCACCTGTATTGAATACGATATTTGTCGGATGCTTGAGGATATATATTGGATACGTATCATACGTATTAGATAATTAATAAAATATGTGGATACTTCGTGAATACTTCTCAGCATGGAGCAAGATATACAATTTTTAATTTTAATCTATACCATCCCCTTTTGAGTTCACATGCAATAGAAAACATCAATTAAATTCCATATGATTTTGAAGACACGGGTATTTTTTAAGTATTATCTATTATTTCATGTTAAAAGAGTATAAAAAAATGAGTTAGTTACATTATAATCATAAAAGCTGATACTTGTAAACAAACCAACTAGTTAAATGTGGTTCTAATTCCTATAGTTGGTCATGCTCGTTTTATTGATATATCATAATGCGGTGATATTTTATCTTTTTCAAGGTAAAAATTCTTAATTTTGCTTACTACTATTAAAGAATTATTGAAAATTATAATTTTAAGTTGTTAAATAATAGTAAATATAACATATATTTTATTATATTCGTATTCTGGCCATACCCATATCTTGTTTTTTTAAGTATTGTCATATTGTCGTATTCGTATTGTATCGTAACCATATCAGGTATCTATATCCGTGCTTCCTAGTTTGTGAGAGTGCTTTCTTCTTGTCCTTTTCTTGGGTAGGCGTGGGTCTAAACACCAACAAAGAAAAGAGGTAGCTTTGTGGAAGAAAAAAATTCTTTGGGAGGTAGAATTTCAATTACCCTCATCAAGCCAGTGTTGGGCTACATTTGCTTGAATTTTGTGTCCTTTCTAGTTTCTAATATGCTAGTTAGGTGTCAAACAGATATGGGGCATGCTAGTTAGATTTTTCTTACTGGTCAGTAGTAAAAAGATCTCTTGTTAGGGGAGGTGTTCCGTTGTAGAGTCGATGTCCCTTGGTGGCCTTGATTTTGGGGATGTTTGTTCTTGAAATAAAGCCACAAAATCTTTTATTTGGGAAAAGGGTCTATGCAGTAAGTATGGGCTCATTACATATGGATTGAATTCTAATCATGCAATGCCTACCTTTTGTTGGAGTCTATAAACAATTCTCTTTTTTTACTTTGTGTATTTTTTTTTTGTTAGAACTATGGGATTGTATTGGTGAGTTAAAATTTCCTTTCTGTGCTCCCAATTTGATATTGTCTTAGAGTATGCGCTTTCATTTTTCTTTCCATCTCTATGATTTTGGTTTGGTGAACAACTCTGTGTTTTAGGAATAGCATTGTATGACACGACACTTCAATACTACTTGAATTTGATGGAAAGTCGGTGGGTTTGGGTTGAGGCTAATCATGTTTTGTGTCGTAAACTGGTTGACCCAATTTACCCATTGATTACAGGTGTTGCCTTTGGTATTTATTGTCAATCTACTTGACACACAATTACAACATGGAGAACCTGTAAAACCCATGTTTTTTTCTATTATATTTTATTCCTTCATCATTTTTCAGGTGTAAATACAACTCATGCAACCCATCCGGCACAACATGACCTGTTTATTAAGCAGATCACCTAGAGTGTATTATGTCACCAATCTGAGGTTTAGATATTTTGATCAATTACATTGAACATGCTTTCTTTCTAAAGAGAATTGGCCATATAGTATATAGAAGAAGCATTGGATAAAGCCTTGATACAAATCAAAAAAGCTGATATTAATCGTGCCATGTTTTAGATTTGTCCATTTAGTGTTCCTATGCTTTCACACGACACATGTTTGCCACTCCTAGGTTTGTTGGAGGCATTCTCCGAACACATTTAAAACATATTTGAGAACATCTAATGTTTTAACAAAATTAACTCTGAAGCATAGACATGGGGTGTGGGCGTGACACAACACGGTGATGAAGACACCAGAAATGAATACGATCAACTTATTACGCGCGAATACACTACTTAGGTCAAAGTATTCATATTGGATACATATTAAATATTGTTCACATCGGATGCTAGAAGATACATATCTAATACTTAGTCAGCTAATTTCAATTTCTGGATACGTCTTAGATATGGACCAACTAAGATGAATACACCAATCTTCTCTATGTTTTTCATTGAAAAACCAATATGGCTTTGAAGACGTTTATTTTTTAAGTATTATCTACTAACATATGTCAAAAATACAAAGAATAGGCTGATTACACCTTATCTCTTGGTAACAACTACTTAAAAACCTGAATCATTTAATTATTCACATTTAATTTGTGGGTATAGCATGATGGGACGATATATGCTTTTTTGAAATCAAAAATTGCTTGTATTTATAAACTTATCATATTCTCCCATATTTGACTGCTTTCTAGTGGCTACATGGTCCAATTAATGGTGTTCTATATATTGTAATTATAGTGTTACATGACACAATAAAATCAGTACTTTATGATGAGTAAATCGGGTGTTTATTACTTTAGTGTGAAGTTTTATATTACTTGATAATGGTAGTCCAGAGTTCTTGTTTCTTTATAGACAACGTCTAGCAAGTATTGTTTCTTCATATTCTCAAATGCTCTTTGTAGTTTTTTTATGCATCTTTTACGTTTATTAGTAAATTTTAAATAAAACTTCAACATGATTAGTCTTAACAATTATAAATGTTATCTTATAATATATTTGATTGTCAAATTTTGAAGCTTTGTTAAATACATGTTGGCACATGTTTATCTTGTCGTAGAAACGACTTAACAAGTGTCAGATACGTCCTAAATTAAGATGTTATCCAAGGATCAAAAGATTCATGATGGTTGCATTCGAAGTTTTAAATTTTGATTCAATCATTGATTCATTTCGGTCTCCTTGAAAATGGATAGGTTTCGTCCATTTCGACTGATTTGAAACGAAATGTTGATCTTGATGTTATCTTTTAACTATGAACATGTCTATAAGTGTATATGACACATCCAAGAATGTTCAAAAGGTGTTAGATACTAACACGGTTACATTACCCTCTTAAGAGTATCCATGCTTCTAAGATGACAAAGCTTAGGAATAAGTCTAGCTGGATGGTTAAGTAGTGTGGAAGGAGTGTTGGTAAAGGAATAAAGGGTTGCAGGGATTCGTAGCGCACAGGAGTGTGTTTGTTTTAAATATAAAGATGTTGAGCCAGCTCTATTATGTTTGGTAGGTAGAGGTTAGACAAGAAATGGGAAATTTAAAAAAAAAAAAAAGGGGAAAGAGGACAAGGAAGATACTTTGGGCCAGCCAATCATGGACACTAAAATCAAATTACATGTGAGGCTCAAGACGAAAGGCGCTTGGCCAAATTTAGTGTTTGAACCGGCATTACTTAGTACCTAAGCATGATACAACTCTCTAATTTCTTGACCATGCATGCACATTTAGACGGGAGAAAATAGCTTAAAACCAGATTGGGCCTCCCCTATTTGATGGTACATGCGTTATGTGGAGATAGAGCTCTTGGACACAAAGAAGTAATCAGCAAAGCACTCACCCTATGACTGGCCAGAAAATGATGGCCGGGTATTTATTCTTGCATATTGGTTTCACACGTTGGGTAGCCAAGTGTGGAGCGGATTACTATTGAAAGCATCAAGTAGTAAGCCCACCTCAAGATGAGTGCTCTCCTATTCCGACTTCCCTTGAGCCTCCAGTAGCACAGCTGAGACGAAACAGAGGCAAAACCTAGCCTCCTAGCGAAATTTGCAAGTTGCTATACATGATGTTGACACTGTTTCATTGTATTAGATGTAGATAAACACTTCTATCAAAACCCAGGACTAGAAACAAGGCTAAATGGCTATATAAAAAATAGGGTTAATCTCATTTAACACCCCGAAAGATTGTTCGAATCTTAATTTACACCCTCAAAGATAAAAATTTGTATCAATATGCACCCCCAAAGATCAAAAATCTCAATTTGCACCCTCAAAGATAGAAATTTATATCAATGTGCACCCCAAAGATAAAAAATCTCAATTTGCACCCTCAAAGATAAAAATTTGTATCAATGTGCACCTAAAACTAAATTGATAAATTATACCTAGATCCCCTCATACTTGTCATTTAATCATTTAGACCTCTTCACATTTAGAATATTACTCTTACATCTTATGACATTTGTGCACGTATAACACGTAACCCATTTTCATTGATATCTATTAATATAACCGTTAAAAAATATAATTTTATCTTAATAAAAAATTATAATTTCATATTACCCTTTATTTCATGGGTTCAATATATTCTAAAGTTCAAAATTTAGTTTACTATTTGAATGTCTAATAAAATGTAAATATTTATATAATGTTTTTCATATTACCTTTTATATAAATATCTACATTTTATTAGACATTCAAATGGTAAGCTTGATTTTCAACTTTAGAGTATATCGAATCCACAAAATAAAAGGTAATATGAAATTATAATTTTTTATTAGGATAAAATTATATTTTTTAATGATTATATTAATAGATATCAACGAAAAGTGGTTATGTGTTACATATTCACAAATGTCATGAGATGTAAGGGGAATATTCTAAATGTGAAGGAGTTCAAATGATTAAGTGACAAACATGAGGGGATCTAGATATAATTTATTAATTTAATTTTAGGTGCACATTGATATAAATTTCTATCTTTGAGGGTGTAAATTGAGATTTTTTATCTTTGGGGTACACATTGATATAAATTTCTATCTTTGAGGGTGCAAATTGAGATTTTTGATCTTTGGAGGTGCACATTGATACAAATTTCTATCTTTGAGGGTGTAAATTGAGATTTTTGATCTTTGAGGGTGCAAATTGAGATTTGAACAATCTTTTAGGGTGCAACATGAGATTAACCCTAAAAAATAAGATACAAGAGCAACCAATCGAGGATTGTAAGGGTGAAAGTAAAGCTCAAGTGCAGTTCGAAATAAAGTTACTCTTGGAATGGAGCTTCCTTCATTTCTCCTACTTTTCTTAAGCTTTGGTTTTAGGACTCGATTGTACGTATCAATCAATACGTAGCAAGTCGGCTTCAAAAATTAGTAAGGAATGAGTCTCTCTTAGGCTTCACGCAAAAAGAAAACTCTTATGTGCTCTTTCAAGTTAGTGAAATGCTTCATAGTATTGGAGCACAAACGCATAAGTATCTTCTTTGAAGCGGGGCTTCGGAAAGAAACTTTTCTTTCTTTCTCTTCTTTCTTTTTTTTATCCCTTCGACGAATTCAGCTATTACCAATGCCCCACTTGCGGAATAAGCGTAAGAAAGCTACCTAAAAAAAGCAAGGTACATGTTGGATTGAACTTTGCAAATTGTGTTTTGCCAGTGATTTTTTTTAGAAATATTCTCCATTGGAAATTCAAAAATAGAAAGAATCTAAATAAAGGCGCATATGCGGGAAGGGCCTGCCAAGGTAAGCCTTAAGCCTACCCTTGTTAAGCCTCATGCATGTATTGAACCTAGGCATAGCCCGCCAAGGAACTGTTTTACACTCGGTACGCATTTATCTCTGGGACCGCTTGATTAGTTGCATTAGTGGATTGAATATCTTTTCTTGTGCTTGTTTTGTATTAAGGTATACCTAAGATATGAGTCAAAATTGGTAACAGAAGGGGAGAGATTTCTTTTTTTTTCGTGAGGGCAAGCATCCTTCATTTGACTAATGGTAGGGCTTTAAAGAATAGGCGGTTTGTAAGTTTCTATGACCGTCAAATAAGTAGGAGAATACGCAGAGTGCTACATGGTATGAGAATGGTCAAAAGCAAGTGAGGCGAAAGAGGTGGCTCCACACCGGAGAATTGGGGATTATTAAGAGACCAGGAGAAGTTTGGTTTTAGGAAAAGCTGTTGGGAATAGAATTTTTTTGAATGGTACAACTTGGGGTTAGGAAAAGTAAAGGTCATCCCTTATTCCATTCCTTCAACCCAACAATCCAATATGACCAAAGTGTGATCTATTCATTCGCATCCTGTTCGAATCTATCTTTTGGCCTCGGTGGCCACTTCTCATTCATTTAGGTTTTGTAATCATTTCTACTATTAATCACTTGACAAGGTTAAGGTCCTTTGCATTATAGGCATTTGGAACCTAAGCAAGGAAGGCATTTGCTGCTTCTTCCTAATTGATTGACCATAATCACTTTTTAGGATAGTTTTCAATACCAATGCCATGCAAAGTGGTTTGGTTCAAGAACCAATAGAGATTCACACAATTCTATCACGCCAGATGATCACACTCACCAGCAAGGCATTATTTCCACTTTTGGTTGCTTGCAAGATAATAAGAAAGTTTTCTGTGTCAAATCCATGGGCAGGCTCTAGCTCGACCAATCTCAAGAGAAGACCAAACGCTGAATACCCCGGGTTTAGTCATGTGTAGAATGAAGCCAGTTGCTTTTGGGTTGATCAATTGATTGGAAGGAGGCAAGGGAGGTCCTTTAATCTAAATGGCATATATAGAGTCGTGGGGACAAACATTTGTACATGATTTAATAAAAGATAAGGGAATAATTTGAAACATATATGGTGGTTAATTCTTGCGAACCAAGTTGATTATAAGGCATTGGGTCCTTGGCAATTATTGATGCTCACGTGGTGCAGTTTGATGAACCTCAGTAGGATCTATCCTCTACATTTGTTTAATGTTTGGTATATGTAGAAGACAGAGTTGCTGCAATTCAGTTCTTTGTGTTGGAAAAGCAGACTTCAAACTAATTGCAATTCATGTGAAAATGGTGATTCCGTCTGGAGAAATTACAGCTGGACCCTTTTTCCACTCGGTATAGTTACATTATCCAGTTGGGACTGATAGTTTGAACAGGGTTATTTTCTATGGTCTTTATTTTTCAGTTTAAAATTTTTTAACTTCAGTTTATGCTTTTATTTGGCTTTTAACTTCATTTTTTCCTGCCACTTATACTCGTTTATTGAAAGGGCATTTTCTCTTTATATTTTGTGTGTTTGAGAAGGCCTCTGATTATATTCCATGCATTTTGACTTGCACATTGTCTACTTATCACATTTAATGCAGGTTGATGTGAAGCGGAGCATGGAGGAAGGTGAAAAACGATTCAATAAACTTTCTATTGAAGAGCGTGGAAAATTTGACGAAGAGACACTAGTCAATGTGAACAACATAAAAAAGCAAAGTGCCACCAGCCAGAGAGCTAGTGGATTCAGCAATGAATACATAGTGGTAAGGATCTAACAGATGGCTCCTGAAAGTTTCATCTCAGTTTCTTTTACTTAGTTGAATGGTGGGTTGCACTTAACTAGACTAGCTAAAATGGCATCTCACCTTCCTATATTTTTCTGTTTGGGCAATGAATTGCCTAGTGCCTTTACTTATCAAAATTCTGAATGGTAGGATAGGGAGAAATTGCCGGGTAGTTTTTACCTCCATTGTTGATGAGGACAAAGCTGACCCCATTAATGGTAGCATTGTCATAAGATTGAAGTTCAGGAAACCGCATTCACTAGAGCCTTACTGATGACCTACTGAAAATAAAAAGTTTGCCTGATTAATCTCTGGTTGGCTGGTCTTCTGGTTAAAGATTATTAATAGTGAAAGATACTCGTGTTGTATACTCATCAAATTGGTGATGTTTGGATTAATCGCTTGTATCTTTCTTGTTTTTGTTTTTGACCTTTCTCCTGCAATCGGTAGGTCAATTAAAGTAAAAATAGATGCATTTAAAAGGCAGCCTCCATATGCTTATTGTTTGATTTATTGTCATAGGGCTCTGATCTATATGAATTTAAGGCCATTAACAATTTAATAGGGGTAGTTAAATTGGAATTTGCATATTATAGTGTTTTCGAAGCCTGAATTCTGGATATTTCCGACATCAGATAACAATCTTGGTGGCTGCCGAAGGCATTCACAAACTGCCAACCATCAATAGCAGCAGAGACCTGAAGGAAGCCTTGCAAAAGATTGGCTCTATTCCCTCAAATAGAACTCTGGTAAGTACAGAACTATTCCTGATTTGATGTCTAGAGATCGCTTTTCTTCCATCTCTAACAAGATTGATCTCCATGCAGGCAGTTGAGGTATTATGGACCCCTCAGAATGAGAATGACACGTTGTCCGAGCGAGAATTGCTTGAAGATTACCCACTATTGCGGCCTCTATAATCAATAGTTTGCTGTCTTTGTACTTTCAATAAAGAGTCGTTAGCTATACTGCTTTCATGATCCCAAGTACAGTTCATAGAAGTAAGAAATGTGCATAGTATAGGAATGTTCCATTTGTGTCGGGTTGTGTAGACTGTAACCATACATGTTAAGCCCAGAGGATGTATACTAAGGCAAATCTTTATTTTCATCAACTCTGCTAGGGAGGGTGTAGTAACTTGAGCCAGCTTTTAAATCACTAGTCATTCACTAAAAGGGTGGTTTAGTGGACAACGCTCCCATTATTGTGGTGTTTAGAAAGGGTTAGATGTACGCAGTTTTACCATTTAAGCAAGATGTTATTTTTGTGATTCGAACCTTCGACACTGATGTCACAATAAAGCAACTTTCATTGTAGTTTTTCATTTTGCTCAACCTTAATTGAAAGGTATTCACTATAAGGTTGAAATTTTCAATGGTGAGCCTATTGTAGGTTGGGATGTAAATATTGTGTATTAGTGGTATCACTAGCTGTCACCCTGTGATACACAAAATTTATAATATTTCTTCTCCGTCACCTCTACTCTCTCTAATCCTAACATTACAAAAAAATTATTTATTAATGCGATGGATTGATATTTTAAAAAAATTAGATGTGAAGTAGTTAATAAAGATAATGAGAAATTCAAATGTGAGGTAGTCATTGAAGAGCTGGCAGTATTTACCTAGGGCACCACATGTTGAAATTTAATTGGAGGAAGCAAACCATTTCTATTAAAAATTTAAAATTACGAGAAAATAGAATTTAAAGAGGAAAAACTTCTCAATGAGTCTCTCTCCTAAATTGATTTTTACAGTATATAGTACTAGTGGGTGTCCTATGCGATGTACGAAATTTATAACATGTATTGTTTGAGCTAGTTCCATCTCACCTTTGCGGTCTCTCTTTTTCTACACATAATATGGGTAATTCAAGAATTATTACAGTTTATAGGGGATTGAAACAGATTTTTTTTTTTAAAAAAAAAATTTGAATGGAGGGTGGTTACTTTATATTGGTCAACTGTTGGTTGTTGTTTGGAAAATACTTAACTTTGTAATTAACTAAATAAAAAGTTTAGAAATTAAGAAAAGTTAGAGGGAAGACTTTTCAAACCATCTCTCCTAAAAAATTATTGTTTTATTTATATTTATATATATATTTATATCTATACTACTAATAAAAGTGACTTCAGTGAAAAACTTTTAATTTCTTTATTTACCCTTCAATAATTCTATAATATGTACTTTATCCTTTTAAAAGTGAAATAAAATAAAAACTTTTGATTTTCTTATTTATCCTTTAAAAATTTTATAATGTCTACTTTATCATTTTTTGAAGAATTTTTATTTTTTTTTATTACTTGCACTAATTCAACTAATAAAATCATTAATTGACTTTTGATTATCTTTTTTTAAATAATACAAATTCAATCCAAATACAATTTGCACAATGTGATTTGAATTCAATTCAATTGTCCAATGAATTTTATTTTCATAGTGGATATATGAATATACTAAAATAGATATCCGTTCTGATTCAAATAAGTTGATTAAAAACGATTTTAACATCTAACACATGGATTTTTCCTCAATTTATTAAATAGTCACTAAATTACATTATATGTTTTGTAGGTATGTAGTGCATATCTAAATTTGTTAAAAAACAAATATTTGAATAGATCTAATAATCTATATATTACTTCTAAATGTCAATGTTTGTTAAAAAAATTTAATCGATAATACTATCCTTAAAAAGATAAAAAAATATAATAATAACAAATTGTAGTAACTTTTTATTGGTCTAAAAAATTAGTAGTCATCTAACTATTAATCACTTATTGAAATTAAATATTACAATTTTTAAATGTAATTAAATTGATACCACCCAAAATAAGAGAAAAGTCTTGAGCCGAGTACGAACGATGGGGCATCGATCTCATGTTTGGAATGTGGGAAATTTATCTATTTTTCTAAAAAATAAAATAAAAATACTTGATCAACTCGTTAATTATAAATGCTGGCATCAATGAAAAATTTTGATTTCTTATTTTATCCATAATTTTTATTATAAAGTTAATGATACCCATATATTAGTTTTCTCTAATTTTTATTTTCTATACTTGTTTAACTTTTAAATTTTTTTGAACTATTTTATTAACAATATTTGACTTCTAAACTATAATATTTAGATTCAATTTTTATTTCCTATACCTATTTGACTTATAAGTTTTTTTAGACTTTTTTATTAATGGTATGTGATATTTAAATTCTTTTGGACACATTTATTAGTAATGCTATAGTCCAATATATGTTATAGTTGATTTTTTTTTGTATACAACAATATCATATTATTACAATTCAAACAATAATATTGTAATTTAATCATTTTCTTTGACAAAAAAGGTAATAAATTTAAAATATAATTAGATGTGCAAATACTCAAATAATCTTATAATGAAGATTCATTATAAATAAAAGAGAAAATATTTAATGAGTCAGAGAAATATTTAAATAAATAATAAATTAGATACTCGAAGAGTGGTAGAATAGATCAATAACTAGGTTTAATTATTTAATTTAATACCCATACAATTTAATTTTTTTTATGAAAAAATTATCATTTAAATATATTTACATAGCATTTTGTACATTGCTAGTATATATAAATAGACGTATAGGTGATTTCTTTTACTGGGGGTGCGAAAAGAGTGTATATTGCTGCAGATTATCTTGAAAATGCCATTTGCAGTTTATATACACGAAGGGAACTACTAAATGAGATCATTTGTTAAGAAAGACCACTATTCAGACCAATATACGCAGAGAGAGAGAGAGAGAGAGAGAGAGAGAGAGAGAGATTCTTCATGGATGTCATCTGTTTAGTCACGCCATGCAGCCCAAAAATGAAATGATGCCATCCATATGTAAGACTATTTGCTACTGTTGCTCAAAATATGCCGGGGTTGACTGAAATCTCTCACTCGACAAATAAGTTTTGGGACTTTCTTCGGTAAAAACAATGGAATTTTTCCTGGACAATGGTGAAGTTAAAACATAGATTTACAAAGAAAATTCTTTCATTAATCCAATAAAAGGACTTCGATTACAAGAGACTAAATGAACAACCTTGATTATAATACTAACTGCTCTTAAAATTAATCTGAAACTAATCTTAATGATGCCCTGATCGTGAGTCTTTTGGGGTTTTGAAAAGTGTCTTGCTTCCTTCATTGGATGCCCTTTTATAGCCATCTTCTTTGATGGTTTTGCTCCCATCGGCGGTTACCTAATGGTAACTCTTAGTTGGTTATTTCATTCTTTTCAAATGTAATTGCAACTGATCATCTCCCGCCTTTCTTAAAATTTTGTCACTTGACACTTCGTCAGGTGTCGATACACTGAATATTCATGAAATTTTATATTTAGGTCCAAAAAATGTCCCCCTCATTTATTTGAGTTTGACTAATAACTTGGATAAATGAACAGTCGTAAACCGTTTAGTCTTTGAACATATATTTAAAGGGTTGGCTGCTCCACTGTTCACTTAACCCTATCCTCGCACTTCTTGTGATCGTATCTTTCTAACTTCCGACAATCTTCCTTCTTGTTTTCATTCTTTGATTCTCCCAAATGGCATCCAAGCGAAAGATGGATCAATCCTCCTCCGCTGTTCCTTCTTTGAATACACCTTCCATTCCTTGTTTTCTTGACAACATTAGATACACAATTCGAGACTTCATAGATGACGATTTCTTGATCCCTTCTTTGGATTTAGGCTCAAACTTTGCATTGGGCCATGCTTTTAAGTTAGATATCTTCCCAAGGTTATCTGAGTTCTATCCCATTTCAAAAAGGGAAACCCTGACACTTCACCAACTTCACCTCAGATGGAAATCTCCAGACCAACAATGGATTGATTGGGTAGAAGGAATGAAGAAGTATTTCTCTGACCAATGGAGGTGATAGAACATCTATGAGCAGATTAAGCTCTCAACGAGTTCACTGTACATGAATCTTTGACTAATAAGTGCATCCATTTGTTTCTGATTGCAGTCTTACAATGTTATGCTTCTTCCTCTTGGTATAATGTCTCCATCTATCCTTGATGTTGTACATTGACGGGGCTCTCATTGATTGGAATAGAGATAATTGCTTGTCTAAAGTCCGAACATGTTTTGTTCGACCTTCCAAATAACTTCAATTATTGATACCACATTTCCTACTTTTGTAAGCCAAATTTTGTTCCAACAAGTGGCTTTTCTCTTTCATTGGCTCTGTTGCTTTGTTCCTTGTATCCAGCCTTTGGATTACTAGGAAATACTTCAACATTGCTGTCACACCCCATCCTGAGAGACCTCCTTGATTTTTCAGAGTGAAAGCGTAGCTCGACACGTATCAATACCTGCGTTTGTAATACAATAATGCATTTAAAATTAATAATACCCCTTAATAACACCGTAAAACAGATAACTATATAATAGAGTACACAATAGTGTCATTTGTACCAAAACAAAAGATTAGAGATTTTATCTCTTTACAACAAAAGGGAAAAACAAACTATCCTATGCAATATGTACATAGCTGATGGGACTTTTCTGAAATACCGTATGATGAAGACACGTGTCCTCGGTTTTACTAAAGCACTGTTGCTAAGATCAAGCACCCTCGGTGCACAAGGTCCTCGTCCCCGAGGTACCGACATATAGGATCATACATTCGGTATATTTTTACACCGACACGTGGCCTCGGTCTGATATGTACCTTGGTCGGCACACCTCCCTCGTCCCCGAGATGAGCCTTTCCTCGGTGCCGAGAGATACCCCGTCCTGGACGCTTCCTTTGTTCCAGGATAAGCTATTGACGTACAGGTCACTAGTCTAGGCTAGTCTAGGCTATTCATCATGACCTTGTCTTACACAAGTAATGTCAGAACATACTGGAATACAGAGGTCACAGCCAATAGGGGATGGACGCGTGGC